GAGGAAATAGAATAATATAAGGCGGAAATACAAAGCCTTGTGTATTTTTACTGTTATTTATGATTTTATATTACTGTGAAAATTATCTGATATTGAAACATGCGACCAAGTACGTTCATTGTGCCAATCCCAAGATAAATCAGACAAAAAGCTAAATCCAACATATTTCAGGAAATAATTAAAGGTATTATTAATACTTATACCTTATAAAAAAACTAAACAAACATTTTTGACAAAAAAATAAATGTACTGGAACAAAAGACTACCGCTTATTACCACCATTAAAATCACTTTGAAGGAAATTCAAAACCAATTAATTTCTGGCCTTTACGGACTTATATTAATTTAATCGATTAATTGCACCTAAAAAAGATAATGTTACATTTCCGCATTAAATTATATTCAACCTGTCAAGAAAATTGGCTGAAATTAGAGACTTTTACTCATAATATCGATTATTTTGAACTTTTAAAAGGGTCATGAACAAATTTGGTGTTGGGTTAGACAAAAGATTTATAAGTGGAATAAGTTTTCAAATAAATTAAGAAAAGAGATAAAAACAACGACGTTTAAGCTTAGATAAATAATAATCCAAGTTATAACCAATTGAAAGATTTGATCGTCAAGGGTCATTTACCATATAATTATTATACATATATTTAAACTGCGTAGTCATAAAATATTTTTAAAACGTGTACCCTGGAAATTTAAGGCAAACGAATTGTGCACTTTATCCACTCAAGGTTAAATTTTTCAGTTTGTGCATAAATGATCAATTTTTATCGGATTTTCTTACAATATTTTCTCGCTTTCAGTTTTTACGGATCAGGAATGATTAAAAACTGTAAACCTGCATGTTACGTGCGGGATTTTTTGGCAAAATAGATTTCGATTCATTGAACAATTTAATCGATAATAATTATTCAGAAATCGTGAGATGCGGTCTGGTGTGATGTAGGTTTCAGAAAAACATTTTCTTTATCGTGCCAACGTTTCGATCTTTATTGAGATCATCTACAGGGCCTGGGATTTACAAACATTGTTTACAATTAACAAATACATTTAGGATGTGGAAAAGTGAATTTATACAATGCAAAATATATTTTTTTATATTAAATCAAAGTATTTCTACTCATTCAAAGTGTTTTTCTTCTGTGTAATTGTGCCATTCTTGCGTGTCGTGTTGAGAGTGCCAGTGAGATTTTGCTGTTTTATGTTTATATACGTTGGATTTTGAAGGGGTGGGGAATGTAGTCGGTATAGAAAAGTTATTAATCAATAATAACTTTTCAAAAAGAAACCAAAAATTCTGACTGAAGTTTTATTTATTTATTTATTTTTTTATGAGGGTATTTTAACTACGAGATCATATGAAACCTCGGTGAGCCGGTGTTTTAAAAAAAGCCCATTTGTATGTATGTCGGGTTCGAATCCAGCGGCCCTGGATTCGAACCTGGGACCTTTACCTTACAGTAACGCCTAAACCATTGCGGCCACCGACGCCCCCAATAAGCTTTATTATATACAATTAAATGTTACTCATAATCATTCATATTTATGACCACCACAATTTTATATTTATTTTATAAATAAAATTGATTTAAATTTATATAACGTTTTTTTTATTACACTGCCAGTTCTCATGTCAAACGGATGACTTATCCGTATATCGTAGTTGTATTTTTGTGTTTTAGGATGTATAACAAAAATCAACTAAAGTTTGTTTTATTAAAAGTGCTCTGAAGTTCAATAAACTACGAATCTACCCGCTTCACGTTATGAAAAAAGTAGGAGAAAGGAAACTGCAAAAATTGGCAGAGGAAGATCACAAAGGAGGTCAAAAATTTTTTTCCAACAAAATGAGAAGTAACTTAATGTAAAAAGAACTGCAATTTTCAACATAGGACGAATTGAAAATTAAAGCAGGAGAAAGGATTATAAAAAAAAGATTGGATGAGGAAGAGTTCATGAGAGATCTAAAAAGCCTTCTTTACAAAGTGAGCAATAACTTAATATACCAAGAAGTTCAATAAAGCTTGAAATCTAATAAAATAGAAGAAAGCATTAAAAAAACTTCCAAATTGGTTGAGGAGGAGCTTAGAGGAGCTTGAACTTGAAATAAGCGCTGTGAATTTAATAAAGTTTGGATGCCAAATAAAATAAGAGAAAGGATTGTTAAAATAACGGTCAAATGGATGGTAAGTAGCCCAGAGGAGCTTAAAAAGGACTTCTCTCAAAAACTGAAACAAATGAATATAAAATGCGCTGTGAAGTTCAATAAAGCTCGGATATCAAATAAAATAAAAGGATTTTAAAGAATTTAAAATATAAAAAAACAGAAAATTGGCTGATTAAGAGCTCAGAGGAGCTGTCCTTATTTCCTTCATACGTAAACTAAGATTTGGCAGGCATGAATGTTGATCCTTGACGAATTACGTGTCTTGAAAGCTTATACTTTTATAAAATTGGATAAATGACAGGCTTAATCATACGATAATACTGTATTTTATTGCATTCATGTTTTCTTGAACGACATTTATAGTCAACAGTATACTCCAGTAATTTATTTGTATTTCTAAGCACTACAGTTATAAATGATAGTCGGGTTTCAACTCAATCAGACTTCAAGGTTGATTTTATGGTAGTGAGTATGGCTTCACTGGCTAAAAAACCAATTACAGTATTTTATCTAAATATCTACGTTTGAAAAAAGGCGCTGTGAAGTTCAGTAAAGCATTCAGCCCTTCTCCCCAAAGAAGAAGCAATGAATTTACCAAATTGCCAAAATTGGCTGAAAAGGAGCTCAGATGAGCTCACAAAGATCTTACAACACAACGCGAAATAAAATAATGCATTTAAAAAGCTTTGAAGTTCAATAAATCTAGCCCTAAATAAATTAAGAGAAGATAATAAAAAGTGCTGTATTGGCTAGCTCGTAAAAGCTTCCCAATAAGACTTGAAATAAATTATTGGAAAAATCGTTGTAAAGTACAATAAAGCATGGGTCCCAAATTAAATAGGAGAAAGAATTACAAAAATTGCTAAAATTGTCAGAGCAGAAACTAATTTGCCTTCCCAATAAATCGTCAATTAAATTAATGTAAAATCAATGTTAAGTACAGCAATTAAGTACAAATCTAAGTAAAATAAAATAATAGCAAAAACAATAAGATAATATATATAATTGTGCTGAGTTTGTTTCTCATTCTACTCTTATGAAATTTTAGAAACGATAAGATTTTTCATAGCTTTTAGATTTTCATGTTTGCTACAATAAAAAAATTGCATACTATAATTAAAATCTTTTATAGTTTTTTATTTTTATAATAAACTAATTGTAAGATTTGGGAGGCATGAATGTGGATTAAATATAGGATTAAAAATTAAATAATATTATTAATATTGGATTTTACTCCATTGTTCAATGTCATTTATGGACAATGGCTTACTCCAGTTGTTTTCCTTAATTATTAGTTTATTTTTTTTTATCAATTCAACACTACTCTTTGGAATTTTTGTCAAATTTCATATAAACCTGACTGTAAGATGATATGACGTTTTCCTCTCGGTGACAAAAACAAATAAACTTCAGATGAACAAAATAAAACGAAGAGAAAAGTGTAATAGGAAAAACAGAAAACTGTAGTAAATGTAGTTTCAACTGGCCAAAATGGCCAAAACGAACCAAGTCTTAACAAAGACAATATTGTACTGGAGAAAATGTAGGTGTTCAATTCACATTTCTTAAACGCTGAGTAAATGTAATAAAAATTCAATGTTGGTCATTTTATGGACAAAGAACCTTGCAGGATGAAAAATAACTGCGAAGCGTTCGCGACCAGACTGTAACCATCGGAATGTTTATGCGAAATTATTTTCTTTTTTTTGTGTGTGCGGTCAGGCGAATTCCTGCCGACATCGCGTCTGAAGACTTTCAATGTGTCACCGTGCAGGTAGCAGATGCTGCAAGTAGACGTATCTTTTCAAGTATAAAATCTGCGAGTTTTTTTTTTTAATGGGCGGACTTACGCGCCAAACTTTGCGAATCTTCTTCCGCCAAGGATGTGCCTCACGAAGCGAGACGAATTTTAATAGGAGCAAGGACTTCAAGTGTGTTATCCGTGTAAAGGGGCATAATTTTCGTAAACTTAATAATACCCTAGGTTTCGAATAATGGGTAGAGCACGGTTGGCTGAAGACACACTGCAATAACGCCGTTTACGGATGGCCAGAAAGTAGGAATTGACATCGAGAAGTTAGATTATCAGTGGTAATCACATAATTCAATCATCGCTGACCTTTCTCATTACATCATAATGAAAAAAATCAAGCTTTTATCAATTCTTTTAAGTCAGTAAGCAGTAAAGTATGGCTAAACGATGCTTTCTAAACTTCTGAGATTCATAATTTTAAGCAATGTTTTTTTTATACATATAATTATTCAGAAATCGTGAGATGCGGTCTGGTGTGATGTAGGTTTCAGAAAAACATTTTCTTTATCATGCCAACGTTTCGATCTTTATTGAGATCATCTTCAGGGCCTGGGATTTACAAACATTGTTTATAATTAACTTTGATTACAATTAACACTTTGAGTGAGTAGAAATACTTTGATTGAATATAAAAAATATATTTTGCATTGTATAAATTCACTTTTCCATATCCTAAATGTATTTGTTAATTGTAAACAATGTTTGTAAATCCCAGGCCCTGAAGATGATCTCAATAAAGATCGAAACGTTGGCATGATAAAGAAATTAATGTTTTTCTGAAACCTACATCATACCAGACCGCATCTCACGATTTTTGAATAATTATCGATTAACGGTCACTAATCACCACACATTTATACATATATTTAAACAACACCAATTCATAAAGCATTGGATCGAAAATCAACAAATCTATGCTACATGTAAAATTAGCTGATTTCTATTATTATTCAGATATATTTTATGGCATATTTTTAGCATATGATGTTGAAAAATAATTTTGTTTACCTTCTTTTTTGATTCAGGAGGTGGTGTGTTGTGCCTTGATTTTGGCTCTGGCGTGGGAGAGTAGTCAGGCGCGGGTTCCTCAACTTCTTCTTCCCTCTGGAAAAAATAAATTTTTTTGTAGTCTTCTTTATGCTTGGAAATAAAACAGTAATTGAAAAAAGAAAGATAATGTAATATTTGGATTGTTTGTTAAATTCTTTGTTTATAAACTCAATTCTTAACTACTTACACACAGTATTATGTCAAATGTTTTTTTTTTCTTTGTAGGTCGACAAGATTTACAGAGATAAGTTACGTCGTTTGTGATTCTCGACTTACCCAGCCATTGTGATATTTAGACATGAGTTGGATTAAAACTGAATAGAAATTCAAACGTGAGGTGGAGGTGGCGATGAGGTGTGACGTACACGGTTATTTCACGGTCCACCGCCGGCTCCCGATACTTGTCAGATTCCCATTCCTTATAGAAGACACTTGAAAATGAAACTTCGCCGTCTGCCTGACATGACTCGTTTGTAACTGACGCCCTCGGAACTTATCGAACCGATCGAGTAGGGATAGCGATACTGCGCTGTTTCGTATCAAAAGGGAAACGGATCGGCCGTAAGTACGGAGGAGGATCCTATAAAGAGCGAAGGTCGAACCATTTAACATTTCACAATGGTAACACAAATTGCCCACACCTTCATAATCGTGCTAGGGACTAAGGCCTTGGAGGAAAACTGGCTGCATATCGGACGCTTTTCCGCGGTCGTCCGCTGCTTTTGGAAAATCGGGGTGCGCCTAGCTTCGCTGTTAACCTTCGGCGGGGACAACGCGTATTAGTCATGCCTAATCAAGCAAGGGCATGACAAAAATTACATTAATGCACTTCGTTTTAAATAAAGTAATTTATATAAAAGCTTAATCATAAAGAAGTAACTTTATATAGATCTGATTAATTATATTAATACAGATTAATCTGATTAATACATGTTATGTTGAAAACAAACTGCCAAGAAATCTAAGAAAATGAATTTTTTTTGTCGAATTTTCTATACATTGAAATTATAAACAGTTCTCATAAACATTGATCTTACGACTTTAAAAAATGTACAAAGTTTACGTAGATAATTTAGCTAAATTTTATAAGGGTTTGAAATTTTTGACTATAAATCTACAAAAAAAAACCAATAACGATAAAGTTAAAACGTTTTCTGACACCAGTGTGCTATTTCAGTGCTACAGCATAATGGACACTTGCACAGTATGGGGTCTGCTAACTGTATTTATTTTTGTTTTTTTACATTTTTTTATATCAACCCTCGGGGTGCCGGTTTTTGAAAAAAAATCCCAAGTATGTCGGGTTCGAATGCAGGGCCGCTGGATTCGAACCAAGGACCTTTACCTCATAGTGATGAGCGCCGTGTCAACGCCTAAACCATTGCGGCCACCGACGCCCCCCAACTGTTGTGCCATAACGTACCTTTTGTTGAAACTGTGTAACAATGTTATGTTGAAATTGTGTCGTTTCATTTAAATAGTCCGTAAATTGAGAAAATGTGTTCGATTGGGTGTGCGTTCTTTAACTTTTACTTTAATTTCTCTACCGCTTTATATACATAAGAAAATTCTATATACAGGGTGTCCAAGCTAATGCACACACCCCATTTTTTTCCTTTGCAGTTCTTGATAGGAAAAACGTATGAATTGAGACTCCTCTTCATTTTTCATGTAGTTTGTTCATATAAGGTCGATTTATTTTTTCCGACCTCGATTCGACATAAGTCGAATTCAAATTCTTAATTTTAAACACGAACCTACATTTTTCTTTGAAACCACATTTTTCGAGAAAAAATGAGCACTGAGTTATTAAAATCGGTCCAATAGAACTGGAGATATGATTTTTTTGAAAATAGCCGGAATGCTGTTCTAGTGCGTTAGGTCGAAACCACTTTATTTTGCCTTCTACTGCAAATATTTTGAAGAGGAGTAGGAAAATCAGCCAAAGTAGAGAGAAAAGTCAGAAAGTTTAATTTCCTGCCAACTCCCATAAATTTTGTATTTTGTATAGTTTTTTTCTCACCGACCATTGGTTGCCGAGACTCATTCGCCGAAATACCTTGGTTGCAGTTCAAATCCCACCCCCTTTCTCAACCGGGGTTGGGACCAGCCACAGCGGAGTTGACAATTAATCATAACTATTGCTATCTGGGAATAAAAAGTTTAAATAGCAAAATGCAAGAACTAAACCTGTTTATTTTTCGTTTCCAAACTCTTGTTGGGACAAGGCCTTTCTTATCTGAGTGACTCTCAGCGATGAAAATGTTTTGAATGCATTATTGTGTGGAATTAGTTTAGTTGTTTGCTCTCCTTCGTTCACCATGCCTCGAAAGGTGTCCTCGCGTCAACAGAAAATTCATACGGTTGACATTTTCATTGAGTGCGGTCGTAGTTTCACAAGCTTTGCAACAATATCGTGATCGTTTTCCACGCGCATTAGCTTGGACAAAAATCTACCAAAAACCTAACCTCAATATTAACTGCTGTCATTATTAAACAAATAACTACTCTCGAATATATTTCTAACTTAGCTTGGTTTAACAATAGAAAAAATGGTAGTGATATAGCAATTATTTAGATAAAAGTGGCAGAATGGTTTGCTGAGGAAACTAGAAGAATTAACCATTTTTCTAAAGTTCTTTAGTGAGTTGGTTTGTGTTCTTTGATTTTAGAATACAAATGCAATGTAAAATACAAATAAAAATGAGGACATGTAATTAAGTTATTTTTTTTTAGATCCATTAGATTTCGTGGTCCGCTTGACCAAATAACTTCTTTCAATTAAATAATCTTTATGTAAGGCATAAGGTTGTTATAAAAAAGCCATGTTACCAGCGGGATTCGAACCTACGATCTTCGGCTAGATACGCCGCTGCTCTAACACTTGATCTATCGTGACTTCGGATCCACTCGGACACCAACTCCCCTTCTCTCCATTTAATAAGTAAAACGAAGTATATCTTGTGAAGAGCTCTCCGTGGCCATTTCATTTGTAGTCGAGAATAGAATCTTGATTACACGACATTTAAAAATGGCAAAAAGGATGGAAAAAAAGTGATAGAAAAAATGGTAGTGATATAGCAATTATTTAGATAAAAGTGGCAGAATGGTTTGCTGAGGAAACTAGAAGAATTAACCATTTTTCTAAAGTTCTTTAGTGAGTTGGTTTGTGTTCTTTGATTTTAGAATACAAATGCAATGTAAAATACAAATAAAAATGAGGACATGTAATTAAGTTATTTTTTTTTAGATCCATTAGATTTCGTGGTCCGCTTGACCAAATAACTTCTTTCAATTAAATAATCTTTATGTAAGGCATAAGGTTGTTATAANAATCGATAAAAAGCGAAATTACTCTGAAATGGTTGAGAATCGGACCATGGACAATATGAACTTTTTTGTTCATTTTAGGGTGAAGAATCTACTGGAGAAGTTTGTAGCACGAGTAGCAATTCACCCTGTATTTGGGTTTTTAGAGGATGTTTCTAAGTGATCTCGCACCTCTAAAATCTACTCTAAAGCCTCCTCGTATACAAATTTTACCTACTTTTTCTGATAGTTCCCCAATGTATGACCAGCAAATGATTAATTTGTGGTGGAGTCCCTGAGTCCGATTGTTGCTTATTTAATAGTTAATTTTAAAATTATTTATGGGGTCTTATTGGAATTTTCAACAAAGTTTTTTTTTTGCAATTTCGGGGTTGTGGCTGACATTCTCCGCCCACCAATTTTTAGACAAGACAATTGCCAATTCATATCGGCCGGTGAAAGATTACAATTTCATGATCCGTGCTCCTTTTGACTTGAAATGAATCAGGATGGTATTATGAATTTTAATAAACCTTAAACACATATAGATTGTGAATTTACATACTTGAGTCTCAAGTATTGTTTTATAATTACAAGGTATACCCATGACAAAGGGTCTTTAAATACGGAAAAAACCTGACCCTAGATAAAGCAGGTAAGACATTAATTTTCTTTGACTTATTTATCTCGACGAGCATCAGCATACAATCACTCCGAACGCTTTCCAATTATATCGCAGAACATCAATTTTTCTTCGGAGTGAAATCATATCGAGTGTACCTTAAGGTATGAAGATCAAAAATGCGTTACTACTGATAAAATAAAGAGAAAACCTTGGACCGATTTCAGTTTGAATTTATTGCGATTCGTTTTAGCAAGCAGACGCATAAAAGACGTTCCGTTCTAAAACGAGATCCGTTATTTGCTGTGATGATATGGGTGAAATTTACTATGTCTGTGAGAGGGTCACTCTCACAGTCATTTCGTTTTATGGCCAGACCGTTTTACTGCTTCAGAGGCCCAGAACTATCTTAAGTGGCTGTCCACATCAAAACTCGCCCTATGAAAATGCAAAACCACACTTTCTTACTGTTTCGTCCTATAAATTCTACGCTTCTTGTTATGAAAAGTTTAAAAAAAAATGTCAGAATTGTGAGGAGAACTGTAAATGAAAAAGGTAATTTTATGGTATGTCTATTTATATTTCATCGTTTTTTTTAAGTTAAACTATTAAAAAATATACTTTACAAAAAAATTTTCTTATTCTAAGGAAATTTGTCAAAAACAAACAGATTAAGTGATCACTTCACCCTTGATATAAAAAATGGTCAAGTAATATAATAATGTGATGAATATAAATCATTATCTATATGCAAAATTCAAACTTCAAATGATAAAAATGTAAATAAATTTATTAATAAATAATTTTAATTATTAACTGCAGAATGAAAACCTCTTCAAAGTTGTCGAAAATCTCACTGTGTTTAATAATATAACAGAACTCTGGGTTAGAAATTTAATAATTTTATTTTTCAAAAATAACAATAAATAGTATATATAAATACACGCACATACGCGCGCGCACACACACACACACACACACACACACACACACACACACACACTTGTTTTGCTCATGCATGAAGTAAGGAAGCTGATAAATGTGAAAACCTTTGCCTTAGATGGGCCATTTCCTTATGAATTTAGGGAATATTTTCTAATTTTAATTTTTGATAGTTCACTATTCTATGGCAAGAAAAAAAACTATGATACATTTTTGGTGGAGTGGCTGAGTCCGATTATTGCTTCTTTTAAAATTCATTTTTTTAGATTATTTTACTGACAACCTATCGATAAATATTTCATGGTGATTGTTTTCCGCTATGGTTTTAATTATTTGTAATTCTTTTTTTATAATTAGCAAGTGGACATGGGAGTTTGAACATAGGGTCTATGAGCCAAATGGATCCAGCAGCTTTTTCGTTTCATGGGTGATCTGCTGGTATCATAGAATCTGTAGTTGTGGGTTTTCTATATATTTTTATTTCATTGAGGTTATTTATTTTGAAGATTTTTAAGTCTAAAAATTTAAACAACCATCTGACTTATTGCCATTGTAAAATTTATACTAGGGTGCAAAAAATTAATTAATTGAAGAAATTCACTTAGATCCTCTACTGTTCCCGACTATATACATAAAATATCGTCTAAATAGCGTTTCGAGAAAATGGACAAATTTAATAAATTTGTTATTTGATTTGAAAATATTTTTTCAAAGTTATCAATGAATATTTCGGCACAATGGAATAATGGAGAGCCTATTGGTTTTTTCATTTCATTAAATTCATTATTAAATTTACAATAATTAGTCATTTATTTAAGAGTTCTATTATATCAGTTTTTACCAATTCGTTCTCCATTTTTGTTTTATTAATTTAGTACATTCTTTAAGAGGGAATGGAAATAAATTAGTAACATTAAAAGACAGTTGCTAGGCATATTTTTTGTTCTTTAACAGTTTTATCAACTATAAAAAATTGTTAACGAATGTAGGTTTCAAATTGGTTCACTTACAAATTTCCTTAATAATTATTATATCACTCCAATAAATTTTAACTTTATAACTTAGCACTTTTCAAACTTAAGTATAATCGAAATGAACGAGAGAATGAAGAAATAAAAATTACATTCTATTTATTATTTATCTTAAGCAGAAATTACTGTTTTGTAACACCTGTGATCTGAATGGGCCCTTAGAAACTTCGATTAAAAAGGATTAATTGGAGTAGGATAACACACACACACACACACACACACACACACACACACACACACACACACACACACACACACACACACAATGTAATATTATTTAACATGTAAATTAGTCCTACTAAGAAATATTATAAAAAGAAACGTTTTCTTAATTTATGAGGATATATACACAGACACACACAAACACGCGCATTGTATAAAATAAATACAGTAGATGTTTGAAAGCGTAATGATTATAACTATGTTAACAAGTGTGTGGTGATAGTGACCGTTAATCGATAATTATTCAGAAATCGTGAGATGCGGTCTGATGTAGGTTTCAGAAAAACATTTTCTTTATCGTGCCAACGTTTCGATCTTTATTGAGAACATCTTCAGGGCTCAAAGTGTTTGTCTTCTGTGTAATTGTGCCATTCTTGCGTGTTGTGTTGAGAGTGAGTAGGATGTTAACAAGCTGTACGAAGAAATAGTACAAAAAAATTTAATTATGAACTAATAGTTATACATACACAACCAAAGACACAGACATATACAAACACATGCATCGTCTCAATTTACAAATACCTAAGCAATAAAGAATCAAATATCAGACAATTAATTTTTTACAAATTAACAATTTTAATTAGTTGTACTATGAAATTGTATAAACCCCTTTTAATTATTTTATAAAGATATTAGACCCACACAAGCATTAAATAAATAACCAGGGTGGCTCAATCTAATAATTAGCTGCCATTAGTTATGTCATAAACCTACTAAAATTTATAATTACCCAACTACGTGGATATTTACATAGGTCTGAAAGAAATAACAATCGAACAAAATCTTCAAGGTAGACACAAACTTTATATAAAATTCCTATTTTTTCCAATTTCCGTTAACAATAAAAGTACAGTTATGTAATAAAATATAATTGTTCGTTCGAATATTGTCAAGTCATGTATTAGATTGCAGAGTAAGTAAATAAATCTAGTAGTTGCATTAAATGTAAAATCTTTTAATGCAAAAGCTGATTTATCAAAATAGAGAGCATAAGGAATGTAACCCGATATGCTAAAGCAGTTGAGCACAGTACTGAGTAATTGACTCACAGAGACAGGCCATTTTTATTATATATAGTGCTTGGTACGTATGATGTTTTTTGTTTCCTAATGTTTTCTGAAAGTGAATATATTTATTAGAGTGAATGTATAGTACGAAAGAGCCGATGGTTGTAAAACTGAGTACCCAAACGATCCTCAATTAGATTAGTTATGTAGTATGTGTAAAAGTGATAGAGGAATGTTTATCACACCAGAATGAATTTTAAAAATTAATTGGCGGCTGAAATACTTAGCTATGTGTGTGTTAAAAAGTATAAATGTCGTCAAACGGTGCCTTTTTTTTTTTTTTTGCGACAGCCGAGTAAAGTAAGGCTAATTTCACAGATCCTAATTTTTCCATAACAATGTTCAAGACAAACAATGACATCAGATCTTAAAATAGATAACAAACAGGAATAATTCTCTTCTAGGCAAAGAATTACTCGGAGAGTTGTCAAGAAAACAGGGTTTTACTGCCTCTTTATTGTTAATAAAGCTTGTACAGGAAAAAGCTATTCCGAGTTTCTGAATTAGCAATTCTAAGCAACAAAACAAGAAATATATTGTGTGAAAAACATCCAACACGGGCCTTACAGAAGATAAACAGCTTTGGTGGTCATTATTATTTGTTTCAATATGTCTGTACTTCATCACATAATCAGTCATAATTATAGTCTGTAAAACAAATAAATAAAATACTGTTTATTTAGTTTTTAATATAATTTTTTTAACGAGTCACTATTTTTTTTAGAGGCATCCGACAGCTTGGTCATTTCAGCCCCGAGCGCATGCGAAATATTACATCACATATTCAATACTCATTCGCACAAATAAATACATTCACATCTATATAAATTCCATTCATTCTATTTGGTAGATGGAGTACTACCATCGACTTGTATGACCATTCCTCCATCGACTTGTATACAATAACTAATCTAATTAGGGTCGATGGGGTACTTTTATAAATATTCCGCCATCGACCAAGTCACGTACACAGCTCGAAGGGCGATGGGGATGCTATTCAACCATCAGCCACTCCCCAATCACTCTAATAAATACACTTACCCATACAAAACACAGAAACACAAAACACTTATTTGACAGTTACATATAATAAAAAATTCCCAATTCCCCTAAAAAGCGGAACAGAAGACGCTGAAATTCGCTACCGTGTCCGAGAACCATTCTTAAATCCGGCAACATGCCTACACGCACTCTGTATGGAGCATGACACGCCTCTATTTTGTGATATACATCGAGCAACAACTCAATATTATATATTACTTTATTTATTTTTCTTCTTTGAGTTTTTAGATTAAATTTTTCGGTAATTGTTTATAAACAGACGAAAATTCTATATACACAAAAATTTACCAAAAACCTAAACTCAATATTGACCGTTGCCATTATTAAACAAATAATTACGTTAGAATAGATTTCTAACTTAGCAGTTTAACCATAAAAAATGATAGTGATATAGCAATTATTTAAACTAAAAGTGGCAGAATGGTTTTCGCCATCTACAGATTCAGACCTGCCGAAGTATCTAGAAGAATTAACCATTTTTCTAAAGTTCTTTAGGTAGTTGGTTTGTGTGCAGTGTTTGTAGAATACAAATACAATATAAAATACAAATAAAAAAGAGGAATGCATGTAAATAAGTTTTTTTTAGGACATCCATCAACTTACCTCAATTTTATGATGTCGCCTTCTTGGGGGTGGCGAAATTGATGGAGGGGTGTAATCACGGGTAGGAGTAATTTTCCCGTTAGTTAATAAATGTGTCGATGGAGAACCACCTCTGGAATGACCGTTGTACTGAGGCGAAATCCTTCCGATCGGGGAAGTGGTTCGTTCGTGCTTGTAGTAGTTAGTCGTTTTCGTGTATTTTTCACCGTGCAGCGGGCTGCTCCTTTCCAGATTGTGGGTGCTCGGAAATTTTTTGCTGACTCCGTTGAAAGGGGGACTCGGAGACTTTGAACGGTTGTAAGTCGGGCTTGGCGACTTCGTTCCGTTCAGGGCAGGACTGGGTGACATGTGCCCGTTGAGAGGACTAGGGGCGTACGGAGGACTTGGAGAGCTGTTGAAAGTGTGGTTCGGCCCGGTCGGCAAGACTTGCACACCCCCGTCGATTTTGGGAGATTTTGTGAACTTCCTTTCCTCGCTCTTCCACTCGCTCACTCCTTTGAAATACTGTTTTTCCGGTTCGGGAGAAGATAGGAAGACCTTGCTCGGTTTGGGGTCTTTGGCCGATTTCATGGTGACGTTAATGAAGCTCGTCTGGGGTCCTTCGTCCTCCGAGTCCTTGCTCGACCTGGACGTGGATTCGCTGCCGAAATGGTGCTCCAGCCATTTCGAAGTCTCGAGCTTTCTTGTCCGTTCCTCCTGATGGAAGTCCAGGGGACGTTTGGTCAACGCGTCTTTCCTATCGTCTTCGAGACCTTTCAAGAACCTGTTCCTGTTCTTGCGGAGCCTGGCGGAAAGACTGTCCCATTCACCGTCCCCGTGCCGGGTGACCTCCGTTGTTTCAGCATCGTACCTCATCTCTCTGGCCGCCGGTTGACCATTCACGGTGTAATCGACAAATTCTTGATCCTTGGTGTTCGAATAATGCAGCTCCTTTTTATCGTTTCCTTTTTTAGCGTCCTCACCATCCGGATCCTCGATCACCTGTAAAAAATTAAACTTATATAACACTTGCTAATAGTCTAAATCCATGCTATAATATATTCATATAACAATACATTTCCATTCGCATACAATAATTAATTCATTAAAGTAATTAAGAAAATTCCACGCTTGTGCACTGAATCATCTTGTGCTTGTTAAATCTTTCAATAATTTTAGTAATAATCTTAACATTATAAAATAAATTGTCAACTTATTCCAGTTACACACTTCCTCATGTTCTTTGACGGTGCTGGTATTAAGGACGACCTGCCCGTTGGAATCTACAGCTTTTTTCTTGAGAGTGTCCTCTGTATCTGTGACTTTACGCCTGCTTGTACTGTGCCCTACGATCCTGGGGCCCGTCCGGGCGATTTCAGTTCCTGGCTCCCTCACCAGCCAGTTCTCGACGTTACCACCTCCTTCGACTGCCTTTTTGTACGCCTGAAAAAAAGACAAATTTGTATGTTAACCACTGTGAAAATAAGGAGCCAATGTTAAATAAACAATCGCAGGACCCTTTCTCTCGCAGAATCAGGTATCTCACAATTAATCGAAATAAAAATAAGACCGGGAGATTCCCTCACGAGGGGAGATAATTACAAGGCACCGTCCTCACCAACATAATGGGCCGGCGTTCCAACACGATCGAAACTCGTTGAAAATGACGGAAATCTTTTGGGTGCAGAACCATTCCACGTAAGAACAAGTAAATCGCAATTTCTTAAACAGTGCTGATGATACCTTGGCAATAATTGTAAAAAAAAAGTTTGCACGCACGGAATCTTCGATGATTCAATTTGAAGTGTAAAAATTTATTATGCTGATGCCATTAATCTGTTTGTATATATTACTTTTATAATTATCAATACTATATTTTCCTTTATTGGAGATGAAAAGAAAGAAAATAAACTAAAAACCAACAGGTTAAAAGGAAAAAGTACTGACGATGACGAGTACAAAGCTGAGAATCTACAATTTAAAGCCCACAAAATGTTTTAAAATGCATCAAGAAGATTTTTGTGCAAAACTACAAAATTTGACCATAGTGATCCATGGAATAAGAATAACTAGAATTCAATTAATTTCGTGGCCAATTATTATATTACAATTAATTAAGGTTTTTAGTTGGCAAAAAGGAGGGAAAATTCAAAAGGTGCGGTTGAGATGGGAAGTTGGTGTCCGAGTGGATCGAGGTCACGATAGCTCAAGTGGTAGAGCAGCGACGTATCAAGCCGAAGTTCGTGTGTTCGAATCCCGCTCGTGCCATTGACTTTTTTATCTCAACTAAAAACCTTAGTTAATTGTAATAACTAGAATTTTTAAGCACCCATAAAATTTACAAATTTATTGAAATATTTCCTCGTCTCATCTAAGGATAATAAGGACTGGTATCTACATAGCTCGGGGTAATTTCTAAAATTGACTGATCGTTAAAGCAAATAGATTTAAGTTGCTAACTGCACTTTCCGAAAGTACAATTAATCCAAATTAACTTCCTTTCTATTTTTTTTATAATACCCATGGTCAGGAGGAGAGAGTTCTGGAGGTCCTGCGAAAATCCAAGAACTGTTATTAATTCTGGCGGATAAACAACAAGATTCTACAAGAAAAGAACTGTTTACTTGACAGCTTTGTTTGTATTTAAAATAGGGTTTGCAAAATTACCACCGGCACATTGAAAGAAAAAAACAACTAATTTGGCAGTCACTAAGGCAATTTTCAGCTTTCAAAAATGTTAATGTATACTTCCTTGTCATACTGATGAGCTTCCACCCACGTTGTTTCACTTTTCTTGTTTATTTTTTTACCAGTCATGGTCAGAATGTTTATTTGTTCATTTACGATTAAAAAAAAAGAGAGTAATTTTTAAATTATAGTTTAAGTGCAAGGGAAAAAATTAGACCGGTTGTAGTACGAAATTATAACGGTATGCAGGATGACAGATAACGGTGAGGTACTTAACAAAGACGCCTACGCGAAATTATGAATCATCTAACATTTTTATATTTTCTTCTTCTATCACGTCTTGATCACGAGAGAGATTATCAGCGTAAGCCCAGTTCTAACAGTACCTCCATCGTCTCTCTGCGACTGGATCGTTCCCATCATCATGATTTTTATCAAATGATAAAATGATAGGGCGGACGGAGGAAAAAAAACGCCCCGGCGCGTTAATGCCATCCACCAAGGTTGATCTAGGATGATAGATGTCAGTTTTACAAGAATGGCATTGCGACGGCGGCGGTCGCCTTTGTGAAGCACAAAGCATTTAAATTTCATTCGTCAACTTGACACGAATGCCGACGGATGCCGTGATTAACAATCATGATGCAGATTCTACTTGTTAATTCATTATTTTGGTTCTTTAAATTATTAGACCTGAACGTCAATTTGACCTCTGGGTTCAATCTGTCACTTTATTTATCTGGAAACATTATATGTAAGTTTATTTTCAAAATGTGAAATATAATAACAACCGAGCTCAACATAATTCTTAAGCTTCCTGTATAGTTTATAAGGAAAATAGGGATATTGAAAGAGCCTAAAGAAGAATATTTAAGGATAGAGATAGAGATAGTGAGAGAGAGAGAGAGAGAGAGAGAGAGTGAGAGAGAGAGAGAGAGTGAGAGAGAGAGAGAGAGAGTGAGAGAGAGAGAGAATAACAGTGAGTGATAAAGATATGATATAGATAAATAAAGTGATAGTACGTAGATATATAAGTAGATAGATAAAGAGATAGTAAGGCAGAGTGAATGTGAGATGGTAGAGCAAAAGAATGAATGAGTATCGCTGTATTTAAAAAATGCTTTAAAAAAATTAGGTCGCCAACGACCTTTATTACAATTAAAGAATCGTTGAAGAAGAAAAATTACAAATAAAGAGAAAGAGTGAGGGAGAAAGAGAGAGTGAAAGTGTCAGAGATAAAAGAAACAAGAGAGAGTGAGAGAGAGAAAGAATGTGAGATAGATAAAGAGATAGGTAGAGTGAAAGAAGAGAGACAGATAGAGAGAGAGTGATAAAGAGAAAGTGAGAGCGAAAGAAAGAATGAATATCATTGTATTTAAAAAAAACATTTCGCAATTTTAAGTCGGGAACGACCTCTATTACAATTAATGAGAAATAGTGTGAGAGAAAAAGCGCGTAAAAGTAAAAGAGATAAAAGAAAAGCGGAGAGAGTGAGAGAGAAAGAAAGAAAGAGAGAGAGAGAGAGAGAGAGAGAGAGAGAGAGAGAGAGAGAGAGAGAGAGGGAGAGAGAGAGAGAGAGAGAGAGAGAGCGTGTGTACGAAAAATGGTAAATCCTATAATTAAACGATGATTTAATAAAGACGATGTAAACTGTACCAAAAACCTTGTGGTTTGTTATGCGCGATATCGTTGTATCGGGACTACTGTGTATTGTGTTTGCACGGGACAACTGCAACTAACTTAAAGTCAAAAATTAAACTAAACGGAAACAGAACAAGGATACGTAGTTTTTCTGCTACGGTGAACTCGCTTCCTTCAATTTTGTACTTGCCAAGGACCGTAAATCACTGTTCTCTTCCAATTCTTCCTCGAGACGATTCGTCTTCTATTGCGACATAATCACTTGCTGGAATTTTAACACAGCAACCCAGATGTTTATTACATGCCGAAACGGGACGAGAACAGCAGTTGCACAAAAAAACCCAGCCAAATTCGGGCCCTGGACGGTAATTAGTTGCGGTCTCAAAACAGAACAAGAAGAATGAAGTTGAGGATCAACAAAGTTTCACAATGAAAAGCTCTTAAACGATATGTTGCGACACATGAGCTCAGAACGAGTTGCCCGCAATCTCATAAATTCGAAAACTTACATAACATAAAACCTCATACCTCATGAAATTTTCACAATACGTTGTTCTATGCAGATGGTATATTTTTATGGGCTGCACATTAAGAAATAATTTAAAACATGAGGCATGAATTTTTCAACAATAATTGTTATTCTAACGAGGGACGTTTAATGTACTTGATTTATCACTGGCTTGATAGTTTTAATAAAAATTATTCTTTAAGAAAGTTGTTGAAACAAGTAAAAGGTAAAAAATGATAACTTTTTTGGAAGAATGAAATAAATAAAACCTAACTAGAATAATTAAAATTAATAATTATCTTGGATAATGTGTACAGACGAGTATGGTCAACAGTAGGGGTGTTAAGGTGTGTCCTTAAAACTCTTCCGTCTTAATTGTACCTAATTGGAACTAATTGACCTAATTCGTACAATTTTTTAATTGCCCTGAGTGCACAGGTTTCACGTACAAGTCAAAATAAGTTTTCATCAGACTTCTTGATAATTTTTTACCTTGTCGTGACATCGTTTTTATTTTGTTGTATTCTTGTTCTTAATATACAGAACGGCGTATCATCGGCTTTCTTCACCTCCTGTGATTATGTAGGTAAAGCCAATTCAACCAGTGCATCCAGATCTCGAGGGTAAAAAAAAACCGGTCCATTTAAGTCGATGCGGTTGGGAAGTTTGTGAGGCACAAACTTGCAGATCACCCTTCGCAGCCGTTCCGACCCGCCGGCGGTTTGACACGAATTAATTTAAATAGTGAAAGCGCGATGAAGAATTGGGTAAATCGTTTAAAAATGACGGACACATGGCTAAATGTGTAAAACGAGATTACAAGGAAGAGAAAGCCTACTTACACAATATACCACGTTTCAATATAACACAATGAAAATATTGTTCATTATTCTGTTTGTCCTTACTGACTATTTTGTTTGTTTTTATAGTTTCTCTAAAAGCTAACTGGACTAATTTTGAGGTCTTGGTTGGTTTCGCTGTGAAGATTGTACATGCACTTAATCACTCCTACAACGAGCAGAAAAATTAGTTCATAGAAGTATAGAAGGCTTTATTGACGGTTTTATTTATTTTTATTAGTTTTCTCATAGGAAGTACTGCTGATAAACTAGTTGTGATCTTCACTTAGTTGTTTTTACTGTAGACATCTTACATACCTACTAAACCACTAAATATCCACATAACAAGAATGATTTGTTCATTGCGCTCTACAAGTCTTTACTGTCTGTTTAAATTTATATTTATGATTTATCTATGACGAATCAGTGCTAGTGATATAATTAAAGTATTTAAAGTTCGGTTGTTTTTACTTTAGAAATTGTACAGGTTGACTCATGCACTTAAAACACCCATATAACACGAAGAAAAATTTGTTCATTGTTTTTTTTACAAGCTTTTATTGACTATTTTATTTGCATATATGTTTTCTCTGAAAGATACCAGTGCTGGGAACTACTATTAACGTCTCGGGTATGCTAACTTTTGCTTTCGACATCGTTCATGACTACTCGTCCTCTTAAAACACCAATACAACACGATGAAAAAGTTATTCATTGTTCTCTATCCTTATTGACTTATTTTTGCTTTTATAATTTCTCTAAAAGAT